CGCAGGAGCCTTTCTTTATTTTCTTTGTAGATAAGAATGTTTTGATGTCCTGGTTGGTCTCGTCCCGTCGTTTGGCCTGTGAGTTGCGGGGCGGTGCTTGCATGTGGGACGTGTCATCTGGGATTTGTTTTGTTGCCCCCTGTTCTGTATTATTTGGCTGTTCCCTTCCTCTTTTCTTTGCCTCTTTGCCTTYTGGCTGTGTGCAAGTGGGTCGATATGACACACGGGGGTGGGGGCAGCCGCCGCTCAACCTACATCCACGTGGGCGGCCTTGTACGCAAGAGGTTCTGAACAGGGGGAGTTATAAGGAAGCAGATAAAAAATTGAAATTAATATTCCCTGGTTTTCTTTTCTCCTTTTTTCTCTTTTTTTCGCATTTGCGCTCTGATATTCTTGTGACAATATATATCGTCACAAACAGATATGTATACAGGGTTACCTGACCGAACGTTAGGGGGCCCCCGGGCTGGCCCCCGAACGTTCGGGCGTTCGGGGTCCCCTTCGGGGGCCTAACACCTCCAGGTTCGTCCCCCTTCAAAAAAAATTTCGGGGCCTAAAAATACGTTTTTTTTTCTGAATTTTTTTTTGTGAGTTCTCTATGATGTAACCTACACGCCTATAAATTTTGAAGCCATTCTGCTCAGCCTAAAAAACACTAAAAATCGTCAAAGATGGGGGTGTCAAAACGTGGTCGCCCACTCACTATTTTGTTTTTTTTCACTTTTAGCTTTTTGTTTTCACTTTATTTCGGGGCCTAAACAAGTTTATTATTTTTTGAAAAAACATTAACGAGTTATTGATTATGTAAACTACATATCTGTAAATTTTCAGCGCATTTGTCAATGCCAAAAAATAATTAAAAATCGGCAAAGATGGCAGTGTCGAAAAGGTGCTGGCACACTCACTCATTTTAATTCTCCTTTTATTTTTTCTTATTTTTATCATAGTGTTTATTTTCTGTATTTGATTTTTAATTCAAATTTGGTAAAGAATTCGGATGTAGTGCCCAGGCAAATGTTGTTTAGTTTATTTTTCTACATAACATTTTTGTTTTCGGAATTGTTTGAAAACTTCTATTTATTTTTTATTTTTATTTTTGGTCCGCATTCGGCCCGAACGGCCAAACGCCTTCCGAAGGGGTCCCGTACGTTCGGGCGTTCAGGTTCGGGCGTTCGGCCCGTCCCGAACGCCGGCAATGATATATATATACCGGGCAGTTCTGTTTGTGACGATATATGCTACGACTTCGCTAGCTTCCTGCTACGGTTTTTTCCGGTCAGGTCGAGCGGCAGTGGTCGGGGCCGTTACTAGGCGGCCATGCTGTGCCTCTAGTGCCAGCGGCGTGTCTGGATGAGTCGGTGAAACTCCGACGAAACAGTTTGTCACAGCCCCTCGTTTGTTGTCCTCTTCTCTCTCTCTGCCTACGGTTTACCGGGCAGTTCTGTTTGTGACGCTATATATATATAAAATGGATTGACTCCACATACATAAACCCCTTCTCCAAGATTTGGTAAATCTGTGTATCTTTGAGTAGGCAGCCATCCCGATACTTCAATTTGATTTCTTTTTAATTCTAAATTAAGTTGAGAACTTACTGTAGTAGGTAACGAACCAAAAAGCACTAAAG